CCCTGCCCCCATTCACAAACAGGGAGAGAGCTGCCTAGGCTGAGGGATCCAGAACTTAGAGACCAGTAGGTCCAGGGCAGCGTCATGGGGAGGCAAGAGAGTTGGTATGCCAGAATAGAGGAAGGAGATATGAAGGAGAAACTGAGCTTGTGTGCTTGCGCCTGTGCGTGTGCGACGATTTCCCTGAAAGAGGAAGTAAGCTATTTCTCAGGTAGTAGCCATCAGTGATGGGTGAAGACACCTTGGTTAGGGTGCTACTGTGATCCTTGCTATTGGTCCCACCCTCTTGCAGACAGAGCCTTATCGGCCTGGTATGGGCCCTTGACACCTGGACACAGTTCCCCCTGGGTGCAGCCCTGCTGTCCTAGGAAGGTGGGGGCTGGGTTTCCTGGGCTCAGCAGCCCAGGCCTCCTTCCTCTGTGGGACAGCTCATGGGACCTGTGGCTCAGTTTCAGACACAGGTGCAGTTCTTTGGCTCCCTGGCTGCTTCCCTTCCCTTTCTCAGGAGTTTTGGTCTGACTGGTCAAGCCACGCTGCCTCTCAGTGTTTGCTGTCACACTTTTCTATTGCTCTCAGCCCCCTTCAGACTTCACCTGCCACCCACCAGGTGTTTACACTTCAACTGAGCAGGGTTCAACTGAGCAGGTTTGGGAACAGGGATGTCGTGTGTACTTACAAGAGGGAGTTGGCCACCCTCAGAGGGTGCCCCCACTGAATACCTCTCACGTGTGCTGCTTTGCTGGTCTGATAGGTGCCCCAGCTGTGCCTCAAGTCTTGCTGACTCCACCTACTTCATTCCTCACTGTTCCCTCCGTGCTATGGGAGGTCCTGGGGAGGCCCCATGACCACTTTATCATGGAATTGGGACACATCTGCAGACATCTGTTGGAGAAGAAACCTGTCCCATGTTGCCTCAAATGAGTATAGAAAGTCCTTAACTCCTGACCAATCCATTATAAACTGAAACTACTGGAGGTAGCATGAATAAGCCAGCTGAGATACTCAGCGTCCGGCAGAGGACCAGTCATTTTTCCTTGGGAGCTTGCAGCTCACTGCCACTACCCAGCATGAATCTGAGTATCATGCTGCATACATTAAAAGCAATTCAGTATGTTCCAGAAACTTGTAGTGTGGAGATGGAGAGGCAGCTGTAGGAGGCCACAGAGGCATAATAGGCCCCAAGTAGAAGTACAGGGAGTGGGCAGAGCTGCTGGGCACTAGATTACACCAAAGGGATCTCTTTAGCCAAGATAATTAGACTGTGGGAGACATCTGAACATGCATTCTCTGAGGAAAAGGAAACATTTCCTTCTTTCTGCTGTTGCTAAGTGGGGCTAGAACAGTTTCACAAAAGGGCTAGTGGGAGAGGGCAGGCCTCAAGGCCAGTTCTGATGAAGGCATAAGACAAAAGAGACATCCTGATCTAAACAGCCTGCGATCAGGGTGCATCAGAGAGGAAGGCTGTGTAGAGGCAGATCGGGGCAGGTGTCCCATGCTCCCTGTGGTGCAGGGGAGGCAAGATTACGGGGACACACAGGACTGTGTGGGAAACAGGAGTGCATATTCCACAAGCTGGTTTGGCATGCTGATCCATTAAGGACTTTCCTCAAAGCCATTCTGCCTGGTTGGAGCACACACCAAACAAGGTGCCCTTTGGAGACAGGTCAGTCAGAATTCTGTTTTGCTCTGTCAGTCATGTGCCTCTGGGAAAGTCATTGTCTCTCAGAGTCCAAGTCTGTAAACATGTGGGAATTTCCTTGAGTTCCAAAGATTCAGTGACCCAAAGTACATGCTGCAGAGATGAGTGTTTGCTCACTTTCAGACACCTGTGCCAGCCAGTGTGTGGCCCCTGTATGTGATCAGAAATGACTTGTTTTGCCTCCATGGGGAGTAGTCTTGGGCATGCAGCAAGTCTAGTTGCTTCTGGACTTGACTTTCCTCAGAGGTCCTGTCCTAGGCTCTGGTGCTGACCATGTGTTTGTACATCTGGATTCCTCACCTGACAAAAATCTCCCTGAACTCTGGTGTATAGGGAAGAGCTGCTCTTTGTTCTTTGAATGCTTTGGCCAGAATTTTTTCATATCGCCATAAATCTTATTCTTTTGAGGGCCATTTAACTCAAATACTCCTTTTCAGAACATTTATTTATAAGCCCAATTTTTCTCATGGAGTTTTACAGAATGTATTCAAGTGAAATTTATTTTAATTCAATTAAACGCTAACACTACTCCTGATGTATATATCCTGATGTAATTGCAGAAGCCAGGAAAATGGAAAGGGAAAATAAAAGCTAACACTACTCAACAGGCTTTGCCTGGCTATAGCCCAAATTATAGGGAAAACAACTTTTCACAGAGTTAGGTCTCCAATACGGACTCAATAGCAGTTATTAAGAGAAGAGAGTCTTAGCAGAGTGGTCTGGTGTGAGTCACTAGGTGGATCTCGTCCACAGTGTGAACAAACACTCCATGGTGTGAACAAGCACTCCAGGGGACGTCACCTCTGCCTGCTTGCTTCCTGTCTTGAAAGGACAAGCAGTTAAGAGGGAGAAACTTTTTTTTCTCTTCACTTTTTTATGTGTAGGAATTCCCACTATGTATCTTTAAAAAAAATTTTTTATTTTATATGTATGAGTGTAGTGTCTGCCTGTGGGAGGTAGTGCACACATGACGTGCAATGCCTGCAGGGTCAGAAGAGGGTGTTAAGATTCCCTTGGCTCTGAAATTGTTAGCTACCATATGAGTGCTGGGAATCAAACCCGGGTCCTCTGCAAGAGCAGCCAGTGCTCTCAACCACTGGGCCACTTCTACAGCCCATGTACCGTTTTTGTGAAAAGCTTATTTGTGTGTGCGCACGTGCATGCAGAGTATATGCACCTGCATAAGTTTACATGCACCACGTGCGTGCAGTGTGTACACACCTGCATGAGTTTATGTGCACCACATGCATGCAGATGCCCACAAAGGCCAGAGGGTACTGGATCTCCTGGAATTGGAGTTACAGGAAGTTGTGAACTGTCTGATTTGGGTGCTGAGCACTGAATCTAGGTCCTCTGGCAAGAGTATCAAGTATTCTTAATCAGAGTCATCTTTCCAGCTCCCCACACCCCACTATGTATATTACTGTTATCCCAGTAAGATTCCAATTTCCAATAACTGCCCAAATTTATAAATAAAGAGCCACTGAAGTGGGGGGATGGCTCTTACTATAAATTTCAATAATTCTAGATCTACTTTCTTGATCTGTAAAATGACATAATCCGAGTTAGAATAATGGTAAAAACACTAGTTTGAAGGTTTACAGATACTGATTCCTAAAACTAAGCTATGCTTTCTTATCTGTTTAAAGACCTTATAGGCCAGGAATACAGCTCAAGGGTGGAGCACTTGCCCAGAGAGGGCCTGGGTTGGATCTCTAGCACGGTAACACTCTCCTACGTTTAGGAATGGAGAGAAAATAGCTGTAACTTGAAAATGAAAATTTGCATTTAAAGCCCCCCCCCCCCCCCTTCAGGAAATTGAGTGCCTGGAGCTGCTGAGAAGGCAAGGAGCCTTTCTGGTCACCCAGGAGCCAGGCTAAACGTGTGGCCATGGGACATCAACTGACTTGTCTGAGCTTCCATCTGCTTTACTGTTCTTTCTTCCACCTCAGGTCTCTTTTCTGCCCGTTCTACTCACTCCATTAATTAGCGCTGAACTTACCTGTATGTGGACGGGCATACATACGGTTTGCTCAGGTGTTTTGAAAGTGTGGAAGGAATGTTTTATATATTATTTTAAGACAAAAGGCTAAAATACAAAAGCAATCTTGAGTAAGATAATTGCTTTCCTGCTAGGGAAATAGAATGTTAATCTTTTCAGAGGCAGGAAGGAAGGACTTTTATCTATCATACAGGGTAAGGAATCAGGCTGAGCCTAGATCTGCAGACAAAAAATGATTTTAAACACTTTTAAATAAACTCCCCAAATCTATATTTGTATAAACCTAAATATAGATTTGAAGGGGTGAAATTTACTCATCAGCTGGTTTGTAGATTTTGACCCACTGTGTATTTTTGATTAAATGACTGTAGCTGCAACCTTTTTTACTTACAAACTGCTGATTCTTATTAGTTTCATACAGTTCTCAGTGACTACAGGAGTAGGAATAACCTGCTTCATGCCTCCTTGTGGGAAGCTTGGAGACCCCAGCAGTATAGACAGACAGGCCACAAGTTGGCGCAGCAACCCTATACTTGGTCCCTTGGCAACTACATAAACAAAAGTCCATGGGGAGGTGAAATGCCAAAATTCCAGAATTTATGGAGTAATCTGGAAAACTGGTAAATTACTGCCATCTCTTCTGTTACTGAGGTCAACACAGTGTACCATTTCCTTCTAAATTCTATCCCATTATGTCCAATGAACATTTAGAAAGCCTAAAACACTGTTTACAATACAACCAGAATTAACCAACACCAGTACTAATAAATAGCATTACCTCAAACATTATGCATAATGACAGTCACATGGTGGTGACCACACACAGGAAAAAAAAAAAAAAAAAAAAGAATTTATTTCTTAAATTTACTTAAAGGATTAGAGATGATATATGGTAAAACATTTATAATAATGTCAACATAAAATTGACAGCTTTGGTTATAATTAGCACATGCAACTCACTGCATAGGCAAAAATACATACAATACTAGCGTTCCAAATGATGCTACACGAGGTGGAGTAAATAGCAAGCAAACTTGAAAGAATTATAATTACAAGTAAATGAGGCACAGCTGAGAGCTAAGACGTAAAAGGGAGCCATGCTTAATGCTATCACTGCCTTGTGCTAGCCAAGTGTACATTTGTTTTTAGAGTATATTATAACAAACATTAAGACTACAGAGTTCGAATACTGCCCTAACATCCCTGTTTCAGACACATCACATTTTAGTACTCACAGAACATCGTTCGCCGCCTGTAGTTACCAGACAAAGCTGGTGTTCAAGGAATAAAAGATCTCCATCCACACCAGCCTAAAGCATTTTTATCATGATCCATCACAACTAATGACAACTAGGTAATGAAACAAAACTAACAGTTTTGTGAGAGCTTACTGATGCCAAAACCCCTGAAAAGCACTAGAACAGACAAGCACAGAAGGGCTCAGTGTGAGCCACCCCCTTTCTGTCTTTAATGTGGTGAGCACCAAAATATCCTGCACATGTCAGAGCATATATGACAGAAAAAAATACATGAATCCAACAGACAGCACATTTGGTTTGAGAAAACTGTTTTGACTTTCTTTTGAATTATTTATGAACAATCTGAAAAGGAAATGCTGGCCAGGATTGGAGTGGATTGGCTGTAGGTTGGCTAGTTCATACCTCTAAAATCTAGGTAACTCTAAATACCTTGCCATTTTAGGGCTGCATATGTTCTAATTTATAGGAAGGCACATTTTAAAAAAAGTGATCTTACCTGGGCAATAGAATCTAACAGCAATACTACAACAGAAAGCTATCCCAAGAGTTCTTTAACAATGGGCCTTCCATTACATGTAGCTCACTGATGTTATTCCCCCCACTGAAAACTACTAACACAGAAGTGCATATTTTAGAAATTTGCTCTTAAAACGAGCAGAGTAAAATAAAACAGGAGATCGAACATAAGAGGGGAGGAAAGTCTCCCTGACTGTTCTACTTGGTTAATATATGCTAGTAAACAGAAGTGTCTTGAGGAATCCTGTATGATTCTTATACTTCTACATTTATGTCAGGTTTTACTAATTATGTGGGTATAAAAAGACAGCTTTAAAATTGAACGTCAGATTTCTATTTATAAAATTAGATGTTCTACTTTAAATATGAACTTGAACAAAATGTCCTATAAATATACTTCATTAACTTTCAACTTCACAATACGGGTGAGGGGGTCAGTGTATGACTATATGGTAAGCCCTTATCCAGGAATAATGCTGAGACTGAATGAGCTGGGTGGAGAGCAGAGATGAACACAAGGGGCTTGAGTTTTTCTCCCTGTTTCTATTCACGTTAGCATGTTCCTGAGTACTGATTCATGCTCTTAAGTAGATTAAAATTCTAGGTCTTAATGGGTAAAAATTTTAAAGTTTCATATTTTGTAATAGTTATTTAGCATTTTATCCTTTATGAGATGATGGTAAGATAGCAAACACACCAATAAACAATAGTTATAATAACAACACACGTAGCCTATGTTTGAATTGTCTTTTTCTTCAAATCCTAAAGGGGACAACTGCATTAGAAGCAGTGAATTAGTTCTGGTTGCAAATAAGCTGTTTTCTGATGTGCATTATTTTAAACCATATTTTGACATACGAAAGATTTAAAGAGTAATAAACCCACTAGGTTTATTAGGCTAGTTTTTACATAAACCAGATTATTTTCTCTGCCTACCTAAAATATAAGGTACATGCATCCAAACACTATTCTGAAACATGCTTTAGGAAAGTCTGTATTTAAGACAAGTTTTATGGTTGTTTTTCTCTTTTAGGGCAGATGCGCATTGCATATTAGCATTCAAATATATACTTTCTGAATGAGTGCTTCCATGATAACCACATAACCATCTCCTGTGTCTCAAGTGCTGTGTCAGTGGTGGCACTCACCATGCCATGTTCTGGATAGGATTCAACATGCAAACTTACTTTTATGTGCCCTTTCTTCATTGATCTCTCATCCTTATTCCCTTGGATCAGGAACTCACATTGCATAACTACCCCCTACCCCCAATATAAAAACTTCACACTACAAATGCTCTTCACACCACTACTTATTATAAAGAAGGTTACAACTCAATGTGATTATACTAACATGACTACTTACTGTGAGTAAATGAAAGTTTAAATCGTGTCAATTTCCTGCCAAATACACACAAAGTAGACAAATTCAGTCCTGACCTGGACCAGGTCTGATGTCCAGGTTGAATGGCTGTGATGGAGTTATCCTGTGGTGTGAATCTGGGTCTTTCAGTGCCTGACTTTACTCATCTACTTTCAGTTCTGTCAGTTTACCCCTCTCATGTTGTTTTGCCTAAAGTGGGAAACTGAACATATGAGAATAAAGCATCTACTGTCTCACAAAGATCATATATGGAAAGAACTCAGAAAAGTACATGCATTATACAACTGCAAGGATATAATGATAAAGTATATCTGGAAGTCTAACATGAACAATATTCTGAAAGTAAAAAAATAAAATTATATTCAACTGTAAATGAATACCAATTTTCCTTAGGCTTTTGTTTAATAACCTTTATAAACTATTTTAAGTGTGCCCATGTTGTGAAACTTAAACATGAAAACATTTCCTGTGAGCACACTTGGTTGTAGTCAGTCCCTAGCAAAGCATGACCAGTTCTTACTTACTCAGCTTCTACGTTACCCCACCTCCATGTCACACTGGGCAGTTAGGTGGCGGCATAAATGCATTAATGGCTTTAGTGCTAAATCCTAAAAGCCTGGATCGCTTTTTTCCTACAGAAGAGAATTGCAAAGAAGAGATGTAAAATATTCCTAAATCACAATGTAGAACTCTACCTCAGAAGTGACAGGTATTAAAAATACCATCTTTTATTGGGTGTGGTAGGTACACCTAGAGTTCCAGCTACTCAGGAAGCTGGGGTAGGAGGATCACTTGAGCCTGTGCTGGGAATCCTAAACAACATGAGAACTCATTTCCAGAAAAAAAAAGCTGAGGCTGTAGCTCAGTGGAGAGTGCTTGTCTACCAGGTTTAAGGCCGTGGGGTCAATCCCCAGCACCCCAAACAAACAAAAACTTTGCATCTTTATAAGAGTTCCCTACAATGAGGATATTTGCTAACTGTGATATTTACTAAGATCAGCATGTATGTTTTGGGATTCTGCTTTTGGTTGTAGTAAATACTGCCAGACCTCTATCAGTTTGCGTCAAACACCCTCTACAAGATGAAAAATTTAAACTCTGGAATTCTTAAAAATAAAAACAAGGTATAGTCAATGAAAATGCATTTTAAGCTGAAGACATATGTATAAAGTGCTTTCTCAACCAAATGCTCTGAAATCATCTGTCCATTTTGTATCTGTCTATGCAGAGAAAAATGCCATGGATTTCAAAGAGGTTGGCAATGATAAAAAACAAATTTTGGAAATTTTAGTGAGGCTTTGGATTACCTAATATTAAGAAAATGAGTACTTTTACTCTGCCCATTCCCTTTTTCCAGTAACAGCTAGCAGCACCGATATCAACAGAAGGGAACTTGCCAATATTCTCTAATTAAGAACTATAAACGAACCTGCCCCCAACATTTCTTTTGACAGATGTCAAAAGCTGGATAGTTTTGCCTTATGGCCTCTTTCTAAATGCTGCTGTCAGCTGAAGCGGAGGATCCAGACCTTTGCTCCTGGCATCCCTCAGTCACTTTCTGGATGACTATTCTCACCTAAACTAGTGTAGCTATACTAAAAAACCGCTGTTCATTTAAATACCCTCTGTTTTCTATGGTGGCAAAACAGAACGTTTACTTTATAAATTTTCTGGTTTTCTTCAGTGCAAACATCCTGAAACAGCACAAAGTCACTCAGCTTTTCAGTGGATAAAGTCAGTTTATGTAGTGCTTGAAGTAGAATCCCAGACATTCTGGAATGGAGATGGCCCAGTTGTGACTTTGTCCTTAAGGGCAAATGATTATCTTCAGGGAGTGAAGATTATTTATCATCTGAAATCACAGACAAATATTTTAGCTTTCCTTTCAGGTCCTGCTGAAGTTGCAACAGCAACTAGTCTTTTACTGAGGCATATAGCCACCCTGTCTTACAGTCTGTGGCAAGTAACTTTTAGGGATTCCTTCATCAATTGCTGCCTCCATTCCAACAGGTTCAAATTGTTCTACTTGTCCCTCAGTCACTGGGCCAAAAGCACCTGTTGCAGAAACTTCCTGAAACATCTTCATTTGTTCGGCTCCACAGGACTGTGAAATATGATCTGAAACCTGCTGCTGTTTCAGTCTAACAAAATCTTCCTCATTGCCTGATGAAATTTGGTCTGATCTTTCAAAATGTGAAATATCTGGACTGGTTTCAGACTGACTGCAGTTCTGTTTGAAATACTGTTGCCTGGGTAAAATGTCACCACTGATGTCGACATTATCTACCAACTGTAGATCATCTGGGCGCTCCTCAGAATCTAACAGGGGCTGTGTGGACTCAGACCTTGAGAAGACTTGCACTGATGGAACCTGGTGCCTGTAGCCACTGTGTACCACAGTTGAATACTGGACAGTGCTTGCAGTGTTCTGTGCAGATTCATTCTCATCACTGCTAGAGATGCTGGGCCTGGAGGACGACATGCAGGAAGAGCCCCCGATGCCACTGCTGTGGCCTTCCGTACTAATTTTTTCCTTCTTGAACAGTTCCAATGACTTCAGATCATCTGGGCATGGCTTTTTGTCATTTGCTTCTATTTCCACAACACTTACATCAGTAAAATTGCCATCGGAATATATTTGATCTTTGGAATTAAAATTGTGCTAGAAGGAGAGAAATGGATCATTACTTACGGCATTTTTTTTTTTTTTTAAAAGAAAAGAAATTCTAAGAGCTAATTAATGTATTTATGAAACTTTTCACTAAATTTCAGTGGTATGCAAACAATTTCATCAAATCATTGTCAATTAGATGGATTGCAAATTATGTAAACTAAACTAAGAGGTCTGAATCAGTCTGTATTTCCATAGTTTCCAAATCAATATTGTTATAAGCAAATACAGTACCTAATATTTACACATGGACTAGACATCCTAGAATTAAATGGACAGAGAAACTAGGAAACATTAAAAATCAACTTTGAATGACTGAAGTTTTGTAGAATATACAAATTTACTTATTTATTAAAATTAAATCCAATGATTATTAGAGGACAATAGATATAAATGATTTCTCCTCTAGCGTATATTAAGTTTAAAGAGTCTAGTTTAAGTTCTGAAATCATTTCTGTCAGTATTAAAATTCATCAATGTTAAAATGGTAGAATGTTAAACCAGATTTAATAGCTAAAACAAAATGTATGTATAATGGGTTTTCAGTTTTCAAATATTTGTAATGTTTACTGAACAGAAGGAAGAATACCAGCACAAACATGCTATGATGAAGGTCCTCTAAAATTTAGAGGTATTTAGAATTTTGATTGCAATTGTCATTTATATACTATTTTCACTTACTTTTCGATTCATCCTAAATATCTTTTGGTTAAATTCCATAAATGTATTCTAATAAGTCTGTTTATTACAAATAATTTGGAAATATTTTTATCTTACCCTTGGGGGTGTGTGAGGTGACCACTGGGCAATATGACTCTTTGAAGGATCTGGAACATTAGGCCAGATGTGTTTTTTAATTCTGAAGAAAGAAGAAGCAGGGTACATGAAGAACCCCATGTGACAATGAGAAGCCTTATTTCTATGTGTCGCCTAAGAGTCTTAAGAACCAGCAAAAATATCTTTATCATCCTAAAGCCACATTATTATTTTTTTTTTGTAACCAAGAAACTATTATCAATATCCAATTACAAATATCTCGGCTCAAATTCTGCAAAAAATCATTAGGAATTTTAGATTATACTAGACTGTGACCTCTCCCAACAAAAACAAAGGGAAAGATATTTAACTTCTAATTAAAAGTATCCAGACAGCAAATTAATAAAAATGGCATACTGATACCAAATAAAATATGGTAAATTTTATTTTCACAAATAAGAAAAGACATTGAACAGACAGAAAAGTCAGAGTGGTAGTGTGCTCCTGTAACGCAATGCTCAAGAGGCCAAGGCATCAGGTCAAGGCCAGTGTGGGCTACGTGAAACCCTATCTTAGAAATAAAAAACAAGAGGTTGGAAAGATGGCTCAGAGGTTAAGAGCACTGACTGTTCTTGCAGAAGATGCAGGTTTGAATCCCAGCACCCACATGGCAGCTAACAACTGTCTGTAGCTCCAGTTCCAGGGGATCTGACAATCTCTTCTGTCCTTTGTGGGCATTTCACGACGTGGGTGCACCTACCTACGTGCAGGCAATACACGCATACACATAAAATAAATAAAAATAATAAATAAAATATTAAGTAAATAAATAACATAAAAATAAGCATTCAGTTCAGGGGAACAGAAATACGAATCTAGGAATAGACATAAACTTATATGGACAACTGATTTTTGGCACAGACACCAAAGCAATTCACTTGAAAAGAGATAGTCTTTTCTCATAAGAATAGAACTGGATATCTAAAGGAGGAAAACTAAACCTGACTCTGATCTAATACCATGCACAAAAATTAACCCTGAATGAACTATAGACATCAGAGCTAAAACTGAACTTGTAGAAGAAAACATGTGACAGTGGGTTAAGCTGAGATTTTTATAAAAAGGTCACAAAATTCAAGAACCAAAGGTAAAAAAAAGACTCAGAGGAAGTGGACTTTAAAAAAATTTTTTTTAATCTGCTTTTCTAAAATCACAGTTAAAAAATGGGAATGCACAAAGCAGGACAAAATTTGCAAAATATATATCTGACATCCTTTAATCACAGTACTTGGGAGGCAGAGGCAGAGGCAAGCGGATCTCTGTGAGATAGAGGCCAGCCGGGTCTACATAGCTAAGTTCTGCCACATGGGACTACAGAAAGATCCTGTTATCTAAACATATAGAGAACTCTTAGAGCTTCTAAAAATTAAAAAAAAAAAAATTATGTGTATGAGTGTACTGCCTGCATGTGTGTTAAGTGCACCCATGTCATGCAATGCCCACAGAGGTCAGAAGAAGGCACTGGATAACCCTGGATCTGGAGTTACAGATGGTTGTTAGCCACCATGTGGGTGCTGGGTCCCCTGCAAGAGCAGCCAGTGCTCTTAACCACTGAGCTATCTCTGCAGCCCCTCTTAGAATTTTAACACAACAATCTGATTTGAAATTCAGCAAAAAACTTCAGTAGATACACTAAGAATAAGATATGTGATACATGAAAAGATCCATTGAAAAGACCCACTCAGTCATTAGGGAAATGGAAATGAAATAGTTCTACACTCATAGTTCAGAGAACAACCATACTTAACAGCTTCTGACAGTATCACGTCTGGTGATGGCATGGAATACTACTGGTGGGAATGCAAGGTCAGGTGTAGCCACTTTGAAAAAAGCTTGGCAGTTTGTTTTCTTCTTTTTTTATAGTGCTGGGGAGGGAGGGGGAGCCTTCACATGTCATGCAAACACCACCACTCAGCTATATTCTGAGTCCTAGTAGCTGCTCAGAGGTTAAACAGAAGCTGCTCAGAAGTTATTTGTCTGAGATACATGAAAACACACATCCATACAAAGCTTGGTATGTAAATATTCACAGCAGCATTCTATATAATAGCCAAAAATTAGAAAAATGTGAAGTCTCTGACATACCCATATCATGATTCAATAATATCAAGGAAAAAAATACTAATATATGCAACAACATAAATCTCCAAAATACATTAAATGTGAGACATCACATAAGACCACACATATGAAATTCTAGGTAAGACAAAACTACAGTTACCAAGAACAGATAAGTGTTTGTCTGGGGTCAGAGGTTGAGGAAGAAGACAGATAAGAAATTAAATTTTGAGGGAGACAGATGTTCTGAATCTTGGTTATGGTGGTGGTTATGCATCTGTGCAGAATTACAAAAATTCATCAAACTGTAAATTTCAAATGACCAAACACTGTTATGTAAACTAGAGCTCAATAAATACTGAGAAAAAATGCAAAATTATGAATTCTGGTACTTACAGGTCTCGTTTATTAAAGCAGAACAAGACTCCCAGAAGGGTTGTCAACAGGAATGCTAAGCAAACAGGCACAACTATGGCTTCTATTTCTCCCTGAGCTAAAAAAATCAAAGGGTATGATGAGAAATATAACTATTAGCACAAAAGGAGAAAAAATACAACATCCTAGTTGGATTACTGCTTAAATTTTTTTGTTTACAGAGACAGTGTTTCACAATGTAACCCAGACTGGCCTGGAATTCACTATGGAGTCCAGACTTTTCCTGTCTCAGTCTCTGAAGAGGTCATATTATAGATTACTTTTGAAAAGACTAAGTACACGTTCCTTTTTTTTAGTCTTTTCAGGTTTTCAAGTGGCTTTTCCTTCCTCTCTGTCCTTGGTTAATACTAGCCATCTGTCCTTATACTACAAACCTGGCTATGTAGTAAGCACGAAGTACACATTGGCTAGAGAATGAAATGACTACCTCATCTGACTTGGTAAGAGCTGTCATTTTCAAAAGGATAGTACATCTGACACAGGGTTAAAAATCTGAGAACAGATCCTCACGAGGCACGAGGGTACAGAAAGGAGTAATTCATCTAAAGGCAAGCAAATCTGGGCATGGTGGTGCTGCCCTATAACCTCAGTGTGCAGAAGGCAAGACAGAAGGATTGGGCGTTTGAGGTCAGCTGGGAGCCTATACTATATCACTAGAGACACTGTCTCTAAAACAAATAAAAATTTAAAGATGTAAATAAATGTCAAATTCCTAAATACCACACAAATCTCTACCTGCATTTAAAAGACTTATTAAACAAATGAATCACTAATTGGGACAATTAAATGTTAGAGATTATTTTAAATTTTTATTTGTTATTTTTATTTTATGTACGTGAGTGTATTGCCTATATATATGTGTGTGCACCATGTCATCAGATTCCCCTGGAACTGGAGTTAAGGCTGGTTCATAGCCACCATGCTATGCTGGGAATCAAACCCGGGTCCTCTCCAAAAGCAGTCCAGGCCCTAGGGATATTTTTTTTAAAAAATGACTTCCCTTGTGGTTGTTTCTGGTTAATTCTTCCTGCATCTCTATATTTTGTGGTGCTGCTGAGGCCTGAATCAGGGTCTGGAATATGCTAAACTTGCCCTTTATCATAGAGATAACTCTTTCATTAGTCTATAGGAAAATAGGTGTGAGAGTAATACTGCAGAAATACACTACTCACCCATTTTTTAATTTTATTTATTATTTTTATTTTATGTGTAGGCTTTTATCTTTCCACTGTACATATGGTCATGAAGGCCAGGCGAATTCAAGAAATCAGACCAATGCTTGGGAAAAGTATTGAAAAGAAAAATTTTTTGAGAAAGATTCCATATGTAGCCTAGGTTTGCCTTGTGATCCTCTTGCTTCAGCCTTCTAAGTGCTGTGATTACAGGTATATACCATCATGCTCAGCCCAAATATTAACCCTTGAATACAAAGGAGCTCACAAATAGAATGCCAAATCTACCTAGTAGAAGCTTTCCTTTACCAGTGCTAAAATTGTGCTTTTATGTTTCTCACACTTTACCTCCTGGACCCTTGCTCACACCCTTAAGATGCCTTTTTTTCCTCTATTTTTCCACATCATAATTCCAGCATTGTCTCTTCTAAGAACATTCTTTAAAGCTGGTGAAACTCCCTTCTACTGAGATCTTCAAATTCCTACTATGTTTATTATCTAAATCACCTAAATATCTTTTAAAAAACATTTTAATTTTTGCCACATTTCTTCAACTAAGCTATAAGGTCTTTGGGGGCAAAATTCCCATATCATTTAAAGAAGTCGTAATGGAAACTGCAGACACATAATTGAAAAAGAAACAGACTGTAAATAGTTCTAGTATTACTGATTCATATTTTTGGGAAAAGTGTATACATACAAAGATATTGTTAGATTATTTTTAAGAGTGAGATTAGGACTAATTTATCTTCCCCCTTATATTTTATTATAAAAATTTCCTATAGTAAATATAACTTTTGTTAATTAGGGAAATATTTTCAATGTTTTATTTCAAGAATTGTTATATATCTATTAGTAATGATTCAAAATGTAGGGGAAGAAAGAATGTCATGTGAGTCTTCTTTAGGGAGGCTACAGAGGGCCAAGCAAGAGAGGGTGAAGCCCTAAAGTAGGATGATACACTTAGAAAGATGGAACAAGGGAGAGGAAACAGTGAGCCAGGGGCCAAAGAGCAAGCTGAATAGGAAAGGGGTGTGCGCAGAATGGGGCATAATCAACCAGACCTTCTTAGCATTTGGATTATGTGAGGGAAAACTGAAGAAATTTATTGTAATTACATCTGCATTTCTGGTTTTGGCAAATAGCTGGATGGACGTAGAATGGAACAAAGGAAAAGAAATATATTTTGGAAGGAAGAGAGGTTAGCTAAAGCTATGAGTAGTAAGTTTGAATGGGCACATGAGGAAATTGGGCCAATAACAGAGGTCCGCAGAATACAGAATATTTAAAATTGGGTAGAAAAAGGAAGAGGAAGCAAGAGATCTAGGAGAGTGGCAGCAGTTGAGCATAGTAAATCCATTTCTAGTCTAATTAAATTTAAAACAGAAAGATCAAACTACGTTATTTCTTACCAAACTTTGGTGTTGTAAAAGTGAATTCTGGACCGTCTTTTCCACCTTCATCTGTATATGCTGCCATCCGTACCATGTACAGCGTATCACTACTCAAAGAGGACAATGTGTATTCTGTGTGGGAAGAATCCACATTCACAACTGGAAGGAAAAAAAGCAATGTTTGATTCAATTAGTCAATGTTTTTTATTTATCTGTTCCATATCTGACATCGTAAAAATATTAAGAAGGAATAAAATTATTTTCCCAGAAACAACCTTTATAACTCTGACATAATTCTTTAAGCACAATGCAGTATTTTTTAAATAAAGCCATGAACACAATTAGAAGACACATTTACAGGCATCTCCTGAGGATGCTTATACTAGAACACATATAGTGTACATTAGTATTTAAAAGCATAAAGAGAAAAAAAACTTAGTAACTGATACAATTTTATTACCAGTTTCATTTCCAACGATGGTTCTATAAAATATAGAATAATTTCTAATAAATCCATTCTGAACATCAACAGGAAGTCGGTCCCATTCTAAGACAGCTTCATTTTTCCCCACTTTTTTTGTTCGAACAATAGGTCCTTTGGAAGGTGCTGTACCAGAGTAAAAATATTTGATAATTAAAAAACAACAGAATATTAAAAAGTAATGTGTCAATAAAAATTCCTCATAATAAAATTATTTGAATATAATGAAGATTCTTATTTAAAAGTGATCAAAATCTTTTTGTTAATATTAAACTCAACATTTTTAAAAGAAAGTGAGTTTGAACTTACCAGCTTGTTTGAGGTAAGCCTTCACAGACTCTGGGCTTCCTGGTCCGATGGAATACACAGGAGTAACTGTGATCAGATAGCATTTGCTCGCCACTAGGTTTCCTTAAATAAGAGCAGCAGGTTAAGAATTGTATTTCCCCAAAAGAAAAATTCAAATTCCTTGACTTTTGTATTATAATTTCATGAGCACTTAATTTTCTTTTCTTTTAAAACTACAGTTTTATAAATAAACATTGCCTTTTGTATAACAGACAAACTTTAGAGTAAAATGTTGGCTATGTAGTTCTAGCATTCAGAAGGCTGAGGCAGGAGGATAATGAGCTAGAGGCTAGACTGGGCTATATAGTAAGTTCAAGGCCCCCATGAACTATCTAGGTGACCCTGTCTCAAAATAAAAATAAAACATAAGAGGTTCCTTTTACTGTCAGTACAGCAAATGTTAATAGAAGCAGCGACTGCCTTTACATTTAGGATTAATAGAACACTTTGAATTCTTCTGGGTCTTGCTTAGAATTGGACAACTTAGGTGTTTTAGCTAATTCTCTGAGACCCGCCAAGATGCCAGTAAGGAAGTCAAGAGAAGAGCACTGACTGAAGGGCTGTGACTAGCAAGGTGAGTTGAAAGAAGAGATCAGTACTACTTCCCTCATGATTTTAAAGGGAAAATTATCTTAAATACAGTGCTCCTTTTACTTATAATTCCTCCAAGTTATCAAAATAAGTTGTTTGAGCAGGCAACAGTAAAAATGTTCTTTTATAAAATATGTACCATATGTATCAGAAAATAAGGTGTTTATTACACTGCTTACATCTTCAACAAGAACTTTAATTTCCTTAACTAGCATTCATAAAATTGTATGTGCCTTTTGACTTCTTCTACAGAGTAGTTTTACCTTTTCTTGATATATTACAAACACCCCCAGCAATTTCTAGATTCTTCAGAAATAATGATGCTTTCAGGGCTACTAAGTCTTGAATCCTTCATGTCTCAATGAGCTGATCCTGTGCTTTTTTGGCTTTTCAGGTATCTACTTCTAGTTTTTCCAATCTCCCTAGCTCTACCAGGGTTTTTATTTGGTAATGCTGACAAAGTACACAACCATGTTTATCAAAACCATATATTAAATAACAGGTTAGTAAGAACCAAACATCCTGTTTTACAAGTAAAGCTCAAGTACTTACTGGTAGAAATCTCTCTGCTCAGGGCATTTCTCTAATATTTTTGTCACAGATGAATTCTAATGATTATCTTTCATTATTTCAAAAGCACATACATGCTAGGTGTTTTTAGTTTTTGTTTAAAGCTATTATATTACTTCACAGACACTTAGTAAATTGTACCTTACCATAGAGAACTATGCATTTTGGAACTCTCCAGTATCACTGCTGTTCTATGTTAGAACTTCTACTTGAAGGGTTATGGAAACCTGTGTTCTAGTTTGGCTCCTTGTACTTGATGGCTGTAAGAAGTTAAACTAGGGGACTATGTTTTCATCTGAAGAATGAGGGAGTTAAGTTGGGCACAAAGAACATACAACCAATTGGCAGCAACAGCTGGTCTCTACATCTCTATTACTATACAGTTTTGTGTTTGTGATTGTACCTTTCATAATAAAGCATTATGAGGATTTTTAAAAAAGCACTCTCCATACAGAGACCCTATAGTTCAAACAGGCTAAGTATTCAGTATAAGCTGCTGGGAGTGACACATTAGTCACTAGGGAGGCTAAGGATCACGATGCCTAGTAAACAGAGAAAAACATGCAAAGGAAACTCTATCTTAAGGGGTTAGAAAAGGATATCCACTAAAATGTATACCTCTTAAATAGGTTTGATGCACACTGCCATGTTCTTGTTGCCAGTCTGGGATACAGGGCAATTTATCCGACAACACACACCATTCAAGTATGTACTTCCTCACATATTTATGTGGAGCAGTCCATTCTACCCAGAGCATGTTATCTTTTGGGAATGCTTTAAGATCCACTACAGGGTGAGAAGCTTTGAAACAAAGTTTGATGCAGATAAAATCAGTCACAAATCTGATTATTTCAATATTTTATAGTCATATTCAAAACATGTGGTTTATCAAGTTTTCCATAAATAAAAGCACTTCACAATATACACATAAGGTAGTCAATTTACTTTTAAACTTAAATTCTTGCTTTCTCCAAATTCTTCAAAGGTTTTATGAACTGAGCCTTATAACTACATCTTTTTCATTAACAGCTATAGGTAAACAATATGTTTATGTCATATGTCATAAAGTTCTCAAAAACCTTGAAACAGTATTTCAAAAAAAACCAAGAAAACAATCAAAAGTGTATGAATGAATTAAGCATGCTTACTGTAAAGTTTAAATGAGCCACCCAGGGATGGAGGCATTTCATAGATCCTGATGAAATTTGTCTCCTTATCTAAACAAATGAGCACATCTGACTCTGAACAGATAAACTAATCTGTTGTGTCTATCAGGGTTCCTGCCCATGCCAAACCACTCTTTCCACCCATGAGCCAGTTTCCATCTTACAGACACATACCTTTAAAGTGCTGGCCGGGGATAATTATGACAGCTGCATCTGATTTGCCAACAAGATTTCTTGCTGTTAGAGTTATCACATAGCGATTATGTGTGAGATTTACTATCAATTCTGTGTCATTAACCGTGTAATTTTGTGAAAATGATTTCCACTGTGTAACAATCACTTCATAATCCAAGATTTTTCCATTGGCTTCAGAGGCAGGCAATGTCTATAATAAAATTTTATTATAAATTATTTCATAGATCTTGAGGAGTCGGTTTTTTCATGTTCACAAATTCTGCCAGTATGTCAAACTTGTGTACATTTAATTGGAAGGGATTGGCAAGTTCATTTTAAATTTAGTTCTAAAGCAACATCTACTACTCACTAACAAACAGCTACACACACACACCTCAACTGAATCAGGGAGGTTGGATCGCCTTGTCAGCTCTGGTTCTGCACAGGGTGCTGCACGGTGGCTGTGATGCTGGCCTACATTATCTATGCTTCAGCATTTTCCCTCCCTATTTTTTTCTGGTATGATCTACTAATGCACATGTATCAATTTATCAAACACATTCTGATTATCCCAAGTCTGTAACAGTTATTTTTATGAGGCATCTCTGGTAAATTTCATGAAGTTCAGAAAAGGGTCCTGTTCTTAAAGAACTTAAACTTCTATAAACTGTACCCACTAGCTATCGTCTGAACTTATGAAATGAATCTCTTCATTGGCTATATAAAGCTTTATGCTTCTATGTATTAACATTATTAATGCCTGGCTGAAATTATTATGAGTAGAAATAAAATTTAAGTGTTAAGAAACCCAAACTCACAAGACCATTTAAATGAATTTATACGAGATAAGAGTATAAACGGACTTATTTTTACCTTCCATATGAGCTGTACAGATCTATATTCCTGAATATGGGATGGATTTATCTTATACCAGAAACTTGGTGCTTTGGATGGTCCTAAAGAAAACACAGGAACTTCATAAAATAAAGTGCTATTATCTTAACAATATAGTAACAGCCTGTGAGTCATTCTCTTACTTTGTTCTTACTGGTCTGGTCTTTCAATTACATGATGTTTCTTTCTCTTAATAGCAGTAGGCCTCTATCAGTACAATATACTTGGGTCTTTTTTTAGTCAGGGTGATAGCCTGATAATTTAGATTATAATAATCTTATATATTTGAGATGATCTTGCTGTGCTACCCAGGACTGGCCCAGAACTCCTAGGCTCAGAGGATTCTCCTGCCTCAGACTCCTAAGTAGCTGAGACTGTAGGCTTACGCCACGGTGTGTGGTTGTAGAGTATAATGGAACTCTTCTTGTCTAAAAGTATAGAGATCCAGGATATTCTAAGCACTGGCCAGGAAGGCATCACTACTTACTTCCTGTGTGCTCATGCTCTTCACTCTGTTGCTGCTGCACTGTCTTCAGCATTCATTCTTACCCCACACAATGGCCTTTCCCCAGCCTTCTTCATCGCCAGTCCTCTCTTCTCCTGCCATGTATAATTGCTTAAGACTAGCAAATTGTCGCTTACAGTTTATGAAAATACTTTCTCATTGTACTATTACGTCTTACAGTTATATTTTAAAAAATCACTTTTTTTTCCAGGTAATTATTTATTTAATAACCACATACTTAGAAGAAGCATTTCATTACAACAGCATTGACATATTCAATAACAATTTTCTG